ATAGGAAAACCAGTGTCACAGTCTGATAGGTTGGGTTGTGCAATCTCAGAGGTGTGCCTGTGAAAATAATATTGACGCTAAGTAGGCTGGTTTGAAGATGGGAGGTTATCAAAGCTTTGTACACTGAAATATTCTACTCTAATAAAATATAATGTATAAAATGCTTTTCTACACTTGATGCAGAAATAAAATAAAACTAGGATCAGGTTTTTAAGTGTGAAGAGAGCAGCTCTCTTCAAACCTTTAACTTCAGCTGCTCCTCAAGTTCAGAAGAGTCTCAGCTGCTGAGCAGCATGCATGTATATTTTCATGTAAGACCTCACTGTTTCCCTCAAAAGTGAGTTCAAAGGCCTTCACACTGAGAATTGCTATATGTGTCTCGGAAAGTCATGGAACAGAACTGATTATGATTCTTTTTTTTTTTTAATTTGTTTGGTTTAGTTGATTTTCCACTCTGGAAAACATTCATTATTAGAAATTAGTTTTTCACGGTAATAAATACATTTTTAGGAGTGTTTCTCTTTGGTCCAAGATAAAACTGACATTGAGAGGGAATGAGACACCAACAAGCCAATGATTAGGGCACAGGTTTGGATAATGGGAGAGCCAGATGCAGAGCATGATCTCTGCCTTATACTGAACAGGAATTATAAAAAGTCTTCCTCTGTTTTAGGCATCAAGTATCTCAGAAACCAAGCTGTTCCGGCACATCTGTGTCTCTTTTCTCTTTCCTATTTATCCACAAAAATATGTCACAATTTTTTTTTTTTTTTTTAATGTGTGTGAAGAAGATAAACAAATTAAAATGTTTTGATTTTCAGGATTCTTGGTTTCCATCCAGCCCCAGTGCCAAGTCTTTAGGACAGATATAACAAAACCTTTTTCTCACAAATGAAAGTGGTTGTGCTTTAGAGTCACTCAGCTGTCAATACTCAAATGTCAGATGCCTTATTAAGACCTACAGTTGAGAAATAAAGAATGCTTACAGTGTTAAGGGCAATCAGACTGAGAACATCTGAAAATCGGTGACTCTGGCTTTGCCTGTGCAGTGTGGCTCTGCTCGTTCTTCACGCGCATAGATGTAAAACAAAACTGTTTCTCCTGAGCACAGTGGGATTTGTCGTGATTCATCATGATCCTAATACTATCCGATGTGGTACATGTGTTTTACTTAAGTTTTCATATATGCTTCATACAAGCATACCAACCAGATGCGGTGGAGGTAGTGGAGATTGAGGCCCAGCTGGATGTCATGTATGTAGTGTATGAGGAAATACTCCTGCACTGTGAGGGTGACAGAGCACTGGAACAGGCTGCCCAGAGAGGTGGTGGAGTCTCCTTCCCTGGAGACTTTCAAAAGCCGCCTGGACTTGTTCCTGTGTGATCTGCTCTAGGTGATCCTGCTCTGGCATGGGGGTTGGACTAGATGATCTCTAGAGGTCCCTTCCAACCCCTACCACTCTGTGAATCTCTGTGAATCCTGCCACCAGAAATTATCCCAGGTGCTACCTCTGGAAATAGAGCAGTTAGTTTAAAATTGTAGCATGAAAGGATACCTCTTACAGCTTGCCACGGGTGCTATGAACTCCATAGCTTTCCTGCTTTCACTATGGTTACACATACAGTAAATGGAACGTTGTTTCATCTTGCTTTCTCTGGAGGTGATGATACAGTAATGAGTTGAAATGAAACTTTACATATTGCTGTCTGCAGAAGCATACTTTGTGAAGAAGGACTTGTAAGACAAAGGAGTAGAAAATATATTAATAAGAAGAGTTAAAGAATAAACTGAACTAAAAGTGATTTAATATTGGTTTATGATTTATTACTTACTCTTCTTATGAGCATATTTCATGAGCAGCTGCCATGTGGTGGTGGTGGTAAGCAAGAAAACAGGTCTGTTTACTGATTGTCCAGTAAAAAGGCAGGTGGATGTTTGAAGTTGCACTGAATCACTGCTGGATTCCAGCTGAGCTCTTGTAACAGGTGACTTGCTGAGTGGTGTGCCAACGTGACATTTTGTCCAGACAGCTGCCTGGATGACAAGCTCCTTCAGACTGAGGAAGTGGGTCTTTGGTTTCATGAGGAAATTGCCAAAACTCATGTCTTATTAGCATTTTGTAACACTTTCTGCACACTTTTCCCACAGCATTCTATCACATTAGAATTGATCAAAATTGTTGCCTTGGGCTGTCTTGAACAGTTATACATCTGGAGCATCATTTATGCAAGCTGCTGGTGAACAGGATACATACGCTATACTTCACAGCAGCTCTTCTGCCTTCCTGTGCCGACAGATTTACCTTGCTGGGAGATGAGATGATGCAACTCTTTTTATTTGCAAAACCTTTTTTCTGGTTTTTTTAATGTGATGTTTTAAATGACATAATGTGCCACCTGCTTGGGTGCGTACGTACTCTACCTTCACAGTAATACAAGAATACAAGCAAGAGTGATATGGAACAACACTAAGAATTAAAAAAAAAGAAAAGAAAAGAAAAGAGAAAAAACAACCCATTTTTCACTTTTGAAGAAAATGCTTGGCAGGGCAGGACACAGTGCCTGATTAATGTTGACCTTTTGATAACTTTGTCCAAGTGCTTTTGGCATCTTTCTGCTTTTCATCTGTACTTAGCAATTTCTTTTTTCCAAAAGTCTAAAAATAAATCACACTTGAAACTGTTTTATTTTCATTCTCAAAGTAATAAGGATTGGAATCTCATTCCTGAAACTTTGACACAGACAGCAAGAAACACAAATAAGAGCACATGGCCTATTTTTGTGACCTCTGTTTGTCATTCATTATGTAATTATCAGTATATAACTAAGCTCTACATATCTACTAGACTGTATCTCATGATATGGAAAAAAAGGACAAGTTTTAAAATGGGAAAAGTATGTTTTCTATTATGTAGAAGTACTGGTAATATCGTATGAAGTCTCACTGTCATTTTAACTCATTCTGCTTTATTTAAAGGCACTGTTTCCTATGATCAAAATTAAAGACAGTGAAAAACTGCTTAGCCTCCCACCCCCCACTCCTCCCCCTTCCCCCTTTTTGTTTTTGTAACTGGTAACTCTCCAAAAAATGTAACTTGTGTGTTTTCCTATGAAAGCTCTAAGCCTCCTCTCTTGGTCAAGGAGACGGCTGCAGACTTTCTTCCTAACCTATACAAACAGTTATTGTTCTGTCTTCCCTCTTGGCTGCATCTGCTATTTGACAGTGGCAGGAGCATGAAGGCGCTGCTATGATGGCCAGGCACCCACGGGGAGAGGTGTGGGGGCCAGAGGGGGGTGGGATGGAGCTGTCTGAATTACTTCTGAACGCCAAGTGCATTGTTTTAACAAAGAAGCTGCTGCACGCACTTCAGATGTTATTCTTTGCAGTTGCCTATGCTATATATAACAAGACTTCTGGAAGTACTTCACAGTGGTGCACTCTGCAGTGAACATTGGGGTCTCTGTTTTGGTGGGTAATGAGTATTTTTACGACAGTGCTGAATTTTCTATTCCTGAGTACCAGTTGAGTTCACCTTGAGGAGAAAACGCTCTTCTGTAGAAGAAGTTCATCACGTTGGCTTTGTAATTTACACCACCTGTGTTCAGTGCTAACTACAGTTCTTACTTCTGTAAGTGACTTAGGTAAAGCAGGAGCAGGAATAAATTAAACATTTTTAAAGCAAATCCTAGGGTTATCATAGTCACCAATCTCCTTTTCAGTAGGCTCTTTTCAAATTAGTGATGCCACTGGGGGGTTAATGGATACTCTGATTACTTTGCACTTTTTATAGCATACTTCTTTCAAGCAACTAAAATATTTTGGTTTTAAAAAACACAACAACTTTTGCTTGTTTAATGAGTCAACAACCCAATTAGATCTCTGTTCCATTCCAGAAATCAGAGCTGCTTATGCACACAGACCTTCAGGAGCTGGCAGCTCTTTCTTTCATGAGTTCTTTGCTTGATTATGAGCTTTACATAAGGAAAACATTTTCCACTTCCAGCCCATGGTTTGTTTTCCCTTATGGAGACTTGAGTGCAGTACCTCTGTATCTTCTCTTTTGTGATAGCCTATATGTGGTAACATCAACAAGATATTTGGTCACTGATAAGTTCTGTAACAACGACCGCAGAGTTGTAGTGGGAGGCTGTGTCTACAAGCTATTAGGCACAATTAGTTTTTGTCTTAGACTGTAACATTGCAGCATTTCTGCACAGAGAGAGATATACACCACACTGCAAAGACAATAGCTGGTTAATTTTGTCCTGGCCTTTTATAAAACCTTACATCTGTTGTGGAGGTGTGAGATTTTCTTGTTCTGATGGAACTAGGGCCTTAGATGAAGAAGCTGGGACTGTCATTTGAGCAGAAAATAAAACATAATGAAATATTTGAAAATCGTTCCAGAATTAATGTGCCTTCTTAGCACGATTTCCTTATGCAAACCAAAATTAAAAAGAAAAAAATCAGTCTTGCAGTTTCAAAAATTATTTCTTAGTTTAAAAGAATATATTCAACAAAACTGTAGCCATTTGGCAACTTCATCTTTTCTATCTGCTGATAGATTCAAAGAAACAAAATATTCTTCTGTTTTCTTCCTTTTCTTCCAATTTATTTACAAAATTTTTATAAGGCAGCTTGAGGTGCTTCTGTCAGCACTCAGTGTTTTTGATAACATAAGATTGCAACAGATCAGTATAATTTGTCATGTCAGTATCCTTTGTCACATCTGTTAAAACTGAATGAGTACTGACTTGCTCAGTTGTAAAGCAATTTCTCACCTTTTCTGAATGTTTTGCTGAATAAAATCCATTCTCGGCAGCCTTTTTGAAGAGGTGTCAAGGAAATCAGCAGACAGTAGTCAGAACCAAAGGGGAGCAGTGGAGTTGCAGCGGGACCATGGGGGGTTACTGGCAGAGTCTGCTCTGGATCTGGTGCCAGTGCCTGTGAAGGGCTTGACAGCAGTATGGGGCAGAATGGACAATTGGTCTCTCGGTCGATGGGTCCTGCTCCAAGTATGGCTTTCAGGGTGAAAACACTCTTAAACTCCATCCAGTTCAAGAAAGCACTGGTCCAATCTGGTTTCAGCAAGGTGCTCACATTTTGCATGCTGGTCTTTGGCTTCCAAGATGATTCTGTGTCCCCCAGAATAGTACAATAGAATGTGCCGACATTAAAAGTGTCCAAATCACTTTAACATCTAACAAGGTCCATGTAGGAAAGTCAGCACATTGTGGCCTCAGTCCAGTAAAGTACTTAAGAAATGACCTTTGCTTTAAACAGGAGTTAGTCCCATTAATTTGAGATGGCACCCTCTTACAATATTGATGTGTGCTCTATAACAACATTATAATTAACTTTGAAATAATTTGGTACAAAGTCTAACAAATGTTGTTAAGTGAATTTAAACTTTCAGAAAGGATGCACTATTTTTGCTTTATGTAGGATCAGTAACTCTGCGTGGTAGAAAACCTACATTTGTGCCTGCTAGTGTGTTATCTTCACACAGTGAACTCTAAAGACATGGTTTCGTTAATAGGGAAACTGGAAGAAAGAGGTGGAAAGGCCCTTCTTGAGACATAGAAAATATGAAATAGAGAAGTTAAAGTACCCTTTCTTCTTAGGGAGGTTATATTGTTTCACTGTGGTTTTGGAAAAGATAAAGGATGGGTTTTGAAATAACAGAGTAAGAGATACCATAAACCAGCATGTGTACGGCAGTTACCCTACACACCTAAGTGTAGGTGTTCCATTAAAAAATGCGATAAAGATTATGTGGCTGTTGAAGGAGCAGATGATCTGGTGATGTTCTGGGGAACTGAGAAGTGTCTAGGGAGGTTCTGAAGGCACACATTTCTTAACTGCTTTGTCTGGTATGAAAAGAATGTAGTTTCTGTTTTGCAGGACAAAGACTGGTTAGGGGATTATTATTAATTCTCGTTTGAAAGCAATAGTTTAAAATTAGTATATTGGTCACAGGGGAGTTGGGTGGCCAAACAATATTTATGCAAGAACAGTAAAAATAAATCGTTATTCTACAAAATTATTTGTCTTGAGACAAGCTTCTAAACTGTCACTGTTCCATTGTTTTTCTGTTGCAGATATGTCTTCTCCTACAATGAAGAAACCTGAAAAGCCTTTGTTTAGTCCTACTTCTCCCCAGGATTCTTCACCAAGACTGAGCACTTTTCCCCAGCATCACCACCCAGGAATCCCAGGAGTTGCACACAGTGGTGAGGGTTATGGAGGAGGAAGAAATACCTCCCTATTCATTTGGTCTGTTTTCCTTTCCTACAGTCAGATTGAGATATATATTTGCAGACTTTCTGAGAGACCTAACCCCATTTCTAATACTGATGAGAGTACAAATGGAAGAGGTTGGGCTATCCTTCCAGAAAGGCTCATTAAACTCAGTTCAGGTAGTCTGCTGCAAGTCACTGGAAAGGATTTAGGATTAACCAGTGAATAAAATAAGCTGTAAACTGTATGAAGAAACTGTCAGAGGACGGATCTTCCCTGCCTTTCCTCCTTCCACTTACATCCTTCTATATTATTTTTGCTATGACTATGTTTTATTTATATACCAGAATAGGTGGGATTTAATACACAAGAGAAGTCACAACCATGTTCACTATGTGACACAATGAAATAAATGCCAGTGCTTCTTCTGAATGCTCTGTCTAGAGAGGTAGAGTCCCGGTAAATATTTTTCAACACCTATTTTCTGAAATCCCTAGTAAATCCATAGTAAACCTTCACTTAGAGTGTGAAGGATACACTTGAAATATGACAGAATGCATGAGGTATTGAGGGTTTATCAGGAATGACAGGGAAATTCCAGGATCATGGTCTGTTTAATTTTAGATGTGAGAGTGACCCTGATTCTTCAGATGAGAACACAGACCTTGGAAGTCTACCCTCAGCAGCTCATCATGTCTCCTTATGAACTGCATATAAAGGGCTTAATTTTTTGAGCAGAGCTGGGTAACTAGGGGAGTAAAATAGATTTGAGGACTCTCTCTTCTTTCCTTTAACATGCGGTTCTGCTTTGAGAAGTTTCTGTTTTGTGATTTCTTCATGATTTCAAGTGCCTCTTTTTCATTTAATGTGTGAGGACTGTCTTCCCCTTAACATACACTTACTTGGTATTACGAAAGTGAGTGGACTCATTCACATTTCTATAAGGTTTCCACCATCATCAAACACTCAAGCACATCAGAGATGATGGGTGAAATGGAAGGGATAAGTTTCTGCTCCCTTGTGTTTGTTTTGCACAGCTCCCACATGTCAGAGCAGTAACCAATGTTTTATCATTAAACTGAACTGGTGGGGCTGTGATTAAAATGAGCCTGCCACAAAAGAAGCTCCCGTGATTATTTTTTGCCCTACAGTTACGTGTAGATCTTTATATTTGCTTTAGTGCATGCTTTTTAAATACAGGTATTTGAATGACAATCATAACATGATTTGTAGATGGGCTATTTACTTGCTAGAAAAGCGGATTTCTGTCTGTGTAGCCTGTTCTATTATGTCGGTGAACAATGGTTTTGCAATTTGCAAAGTTTTGATTACCAAGTACAGTAATTTTAGAACATTCTTACTGTTGGTTTTTCTTGGGAAACCTATGACTTTGTCCCAGCTCAAAAATAGCAAGTCATTTAAAAGTGAAGTTGGAGAAAAACAAAGATATGAGCAGTGGTTCAGAGGAGCAGTGTTGATGTGCTGGTGCTGATACAGCATAAACTGTGAGCAGCCTGTAAAACACCTCGCTTATACAGACCTGAATATAGACCTGATTTTGCACCCTCCCACTAAAGAAAACGAAAACACCGTTGTCTTTTCTCCATTTCCATTCAACTCAGCACCTCCTTTTTAATGCATTGCCAAGGAGGTGCCCTCTAGATCAGTAGTAAGGGTGAACAGTGGGTTGTTGTGCAGCGTGATAGAAGAACACTTCCAGCTCGATGACAGGGCAGCAGCTGGACATGCTGTACATTCCTTTCACTGTGAAAACATTGCTGGTTGTTTATATATCATGTGCAGCCTATAGATAGAGAAGTGTGTGTTTGTAGGGGCTGGGAAGAAAGAGAATGCAAAGAAAAATATGTATAGGGTAGGTACTTTTTTGTTTGCCAGAGACATTTTTATTGGATGGATTGGTTTCCCAGGCCCTGAAGTCAAATGTTCATTAGCATTTTCACAAAGGTCAGCTAATATTCATGTCATTATTGATGAGTAGTTATTACCCCATCCCCACATGAGGCAGGCAGGGTGCAATGCAATGAGGAATCACTAACTTTTTCTTAGGACTTGGTGACTTTGTTCTCTGTTGGAGTGTTGTGGATAAAAGTGCGGGTTTTATTTATTGAGTATAAAAATTTTTTTTTGTTTATTTGGGCTCCACATGGGAAAACTGTGTAATTGAAATGTCTTTTATGCTGGAGAGTTATTACTGTTCAAAGAAAAAGTATGATGGCATAACCCATAAAATCAAAACAAGATACAGTATTTATGAATTTGAAACAGTAGCACTTTCCATTGTCTGGGATGATGTGAGGGGAGGACATGTAATTTTTACTGTAAAGAAGCCGTG